GCCTGGGCGGGTCTCAAACCCGCGGGCTCAGGAAATCCACTCATCTCAGCCTCCCAAAGGCGCGGGATTATAGGCTGAGCCACCGAGCCCGGCTTCCTCCTACTTTCTTTGCTACGTGGTAGGGTTAGAAGTAGAAAACTGGAAGCTTCTTTTTTTTAAAAAAAGTGAACCTGATAAGAGAGGAACTATCATCTAGTGGAATATCTCTTAGCATACCTAAGGAATTCCACTCTAATGTAAACGCTCTGAGCTGAGCTGTCGTGGTAACTCATAAGCTAAAATTTGCTTGAAAACTTTTTTTATTTTAAAGCATTGTGAAGTTAATCATTCTGTCATCCAAAAACATCCAATTGGAAGGCTGAGGCTGAAGGATTACCTGAGCCTAGCAGGTTGAGGCTGCGGTGGCCAGGAGTATGCCACTGCCCTCCGACCTGGGTGACAAAGTAAGACTTCAACTCAAAAAAAAAAAAAAAGATTTACAAGATCAATTTAAAAATAAAATAAAAACAAGATTCGGTTTGAATTGGAATACATTATTTTGAATAATTTCTCAGCCAGGGTGATTGTTTATTCTATTTTTTTTTGAGTTGGAGTCTCACTCTGTCGCCCAGGCTGGAGTGCAATGGCCGCTCCCAGCCGCCGCAGCCTCGACCTGCTGGGCTCCGGCGATCCTTCTGCCTCAGCCTTCCGAGTAGCCGGAATTACAGGCGCGCGCTACCACACCCGGCTGATTTTTTGATTTATGGTAGAGATGAGGTCTTGCTACCCAGGCGAGTCTCGAACCTGCGAGCTCAGGCAATCCACTCACCTCAGCCTCCCAAAGGCGCAGGATTACAGGCTGAGCCACCAAGCCCGGCGATTGTTTATTCTTGACTAACTGGGTTTAGTCATGAAGATGACCTTATTTTGGACCGAGAGAAGACAGGATGGTAGAGATGGGATGCCTGTATATTGTTTTGGGTTCTACAACCTATTTTGGGTCATGGCTCCCCTTTTGGACCTACTTCTCTATAAGTGGATATATATGTAAAATTTTATACATAATATAAGTGCGTTTTTGAAATTTGTGAAATGTCTGTGGGTACTAGATATGAATCTCTTATCTGGTCCAATCTCATTTTTTTACTTGAGGAAACAGGTCCAGGGAGGAGAAATGACTTGCAAAGGCCATACTGTACGTGTTTGTAGCCATTTTGATTCTGAGATTACACTTTAAATAATCACCTTTGGTGTATACAATTGTGGTCCTTTCTGTTCTTTATTTTTTAGTTCTTTGCCTTCACATAAGTAATTTTAGTACTGTACATAAAGGTGATTAAAGTTGTGATCTTATGCAAAACATAGCATATTAATCCACAGGAAACTACTCTTTGGGAAATTAAAGTTACTATAACAGGACAGCTCAGATTCTTTAAAAATTAAATATATAAGCCACTATGTACAGTTAGGCTGAGCTTGTGCCTTACACAACTGTAGTCCTTGGGAGGCCAAGGCAGGAGGATCGCTTGAGCCCAGGGATTGGAGGCTGCAATGAGCTATGATTGCACCATTGGGCTGTAGCCTGGGTGACAGAGTGAGACTCTGTCTGTAAATAAACATACAAATAAGCATACAGTTAAGAAACTTTTAATAACATGTTGAACACTTACATATCTGTTTTTTGGGGACACCAGTGTACTTCTGCTTTAGACAAGGCTCTGCTTTGTACTAGGAGATCTTGGCAGTGGGATTGAGAATTCAGGTTTGCTATCACTTAGCATCATTTGCTCAAAGATAAAATTTCAAAATTCCAAATGGTTAATTTGCTGAAAACATACATTAAAGCAAGTGCCACTTAAATCTTAAGGATTTGGTGTCTGTGTGTGTTTTTAAGCTTTAGGGAAAGTGTGTTGCTGGGGAGTAACTTTACTATCTGTGTGTTTATGTACCATCATTTTGGGATTGTGCGCATATATCCACCAAACCAGTGATGGATAGGAGCTAGGAAGCAGTCTTTTCTCTGGAACTCTCTTTGATGACAGGATTAGCAGTGTTTTGTGATTAAGGATCTCGTGGTTATTTTGTTTCATTTTGTTTTTTTTGAGTTGGAGTCTCACTCAGTTGCCCAGACTGGAGGGCAGTGGCCACTCCTGGCCACCGCAGCCTCGGTCTGCTGGGCTCTGACGATCCTTCCGCCTCAGCCTTCCAAGTAGCTGGAGTTACAGGCGCGCGCTACCACACCAGGCTAATTTTTTTGATTTATTGTAGAGATGAGGTCTCACCAAGTTGCCCAGGTGGGTCTCGAACCCGCGGGCTCAGGCAATCCACTCACCTCGGCCTCCCAAAGCGCTGGGATCACAGGCTGAGCTACCGAGCCTGGCCAGGATCTCATAGTTATATCAGTGTAAACTTTTCTGGTCCCACCATTTTGTTTTCCTGTGGCAGTTTTTGTTGTTGTTTTGGATAGTGGTTTAAAATTATTCAACAGACTAGGCAGAAATGTCTCAGAAGAAAGAATATTTTCCTGAAAGTGTTATGTGAGAGATGTTAAGAGTGTATGCTGAGTTATGGTCTGAATTTATTTTTATCTTTTTCTTAGACTCTATTTTCTCTAAAATAGGCAGAACTGTAATTTTGCTTCCATAAGCAATGTGGTATTAATCTCATACTACTGTGAAACATTTTAGGTTGAAACTACAGTCTTAAAGAATTTCAGAATTGAAGGGACCTTAGAAATAATCTAGTCCGGCTGGACACAGTGGCTCACATCCCAGCACTTTGGGAGGCCAAGGTGAGAGGATTGCCTGAGCCCACAGGTTCAAGAGCAGACTGGGCAACTTGGCGAGACCTGATCTCTACAATAAATTAAAAAAATTAGCCAGGTCTGATAGCACACACTTGTAGTTCCGACTACTTGGAAGGCTGAGGTGGAAGGATCACCTGAGCCCAGCAGGTCAAGACTGCGGTGGCTAGAAGCATGCCACTGCCCTCCAGCCTGGGTGACAGAGTGAGACTCCAACTCACAAACAGAAAGAAAGAAATAATCTAGTCCAAATCCTGTATTCTCTTACATTTAAGATATTGCAGATACCCTTAGTGAGAGTACTGATAGGTGGGGCAAACAAGAATGTCTAGGTCTGTCCATCCTCAGGATCTTTTCTTTTTATTTTTCTTTTTTTTTTTTTTGAGTTGGAGTCTCACTCTGTCGCGGAGACTGGAGTGCAGTGGCCACTGCAGCCTCGCCTGCTGGGCTCTGGCGATCCTTCCGCCTCAGCCTTCTGAGTAGCCAGAATTACAGGCATGCGCTACCACACCCGGCTGATTTTTTGATTTATTGTAGAGATGAGGTCTCGCTGCTCAGGCGGGTCTCAAATCCGCGGGCTCAGGCAATCCACTCACCTCAGCCCCCCAAAGGCGCGGGATTACAGGCTGAGCCACCGGGCCCGGCTTCTTTTTTTTTTTTTTGAGTTGGAGTCTCACTCTGTCACCCAGACTGGAGTGCAGTGGCCGCTCCCAGCCACCGCAGCCTCAACCTGCTGGGCTCCAGCGATCCTTCCGCCACAGCCTTCCAAGTAGCTGGAACTACAGGTGCAAGCTACCATGCCCGGCTAATTTTTGATTTATTGTAGAGATGAGGTCTCACCAAGTTGCCCAGGCAGGTCTTGAACCCGCGGGCTCAGGCAATCCATTCACCTTAGTCTCCCAAAGACGTGGGATTACAGGCTGAGCCACCAAGCCCAGCTAGGATCTTTTCTTAATGTGCATAGCATTTATGGTTTGTATCCCACACCTTAGTGCAGAATTCATGTACTATCAGCCTTTTTATCTTATGTGTTAATCTTATCTAGAAACTGGATTGGGGTTAGCTGTAGTACGATTTTCTTTTGTGCTGCATCCCTTATGATACTGAGTATATAAAAAACATTACAGACTAAATTACTTGGTGGATTCCGTATGAGCTAAAGAATAGAATAATTTGAATCAGCTAGCCATGCATTTCTTCCCATTGGAGACTTTACTTGGGTCAATAAATTAAGTTTTTCATGTATTTCACCTTGAGATGAATCTGAATGAATTGTTTTAAGTGCCAGGCATGGTGGCTCATGCCTATAATCCCAGCACTTTGGGAGGCATAGGTGAGTGGATTGCCTGAGTCCAGGGTTTCGAGATCAGCCTGAGCAACTTGGCAAGACCTTGATCTCTACAATGAACCAAAAAATTAGCTGGGCATACACCTGAAGTTCCAACTACTCCAACTCAAAAAAAAAAAAAGAGAATTGTTTAAGTAAAATAATTTTTGGAACATAAATATTTGGCTTCTAATTATGTAAACCAGTATTCTGGGAAATATATTTTTTAAAAATGTATATGTATTTATTTATTTATTTATTTTTGAGTTGGAGTCTCACTCTGTCTCCCAGGCTGGAGTGCAGTGGCACACTCATGGCCACCCCAACATTGGCCTGCCAGGCTCGGATGGTCCTTCCAAGTAGCTGGAACCACAGGCACATGCCACCATACCCAGCTAAGTTTTTGATATTGTAGCGACACGGTCTCACCAAGTTACTCAGGCTGGTCTTGAACCCACAGGCTCAGGCAATCCTTTCACCTAGGCCTCCCAAAATGTTGGGATTACAGGCGTGAGCCACTGCACCAGGCAAAGTTGGGATTTTAATGATGAATTGAGCCTGGCCATAGCTGCTGATCTGGTAAGAATCAGACCAAGCAAAGATTTTCACAATGTCTTTTCCATTTCCCGTGCTGAGGGATTCTTGGTGTAAGTGACTGATATTATTTGGAAGTTCCTTAACTGAAATAGGATCTCTCAAAACTTCCTTCAAGTACCAGCCTGTTTCTGTTTTTTGTCTGGAGCATGCGAACAGAATGCATGTGTGTGTGAGATAACTGGGCTTTCCCTAATGGCCCCCTTTCAGCAACCATGTATGGGTAAAGCTGTTCAGTTCCCTACTCCTCCCTTTCTGAGCACGGAGCAGAATCTGTTCTGCTGAAGCTGCTGTTCCACTTTTCAGCTTTCTATATTTGTACAGCAACAGCAGGGGCAGCCCACTAGCTAGGCCATGCGGCTGCCCTTGTGTACCGGCACTGACTCAGGCCTGCTCAGGACTCAGCCAGGTCTCACAATGTGTGTTCGTTCTTAAGTGCGTCCATCTGTCTGTGTACAGTTCTGTGGAGGACTGAAGTTTTCAAGTGATAGAGGTGACCTGTTTGTCTTTTTTTGTTTAGGTTTGTCAAATACAGGTTGTAGAGAATATTTCAGTCTCAGGGATGTGGTGAGGAGATAAGTTTTGTGTTATTTAACAGAATAACATCTTGGAGAGAGGTCTAACAGGCCTAGTTGGAGATTGAAGATCTGTCAATCACTATCTTTTTACCTACTCCACTTCCTCTACTTCTAATAGGAAATACTTCCATGTAATCTCAGGAACCCCATTTTGAAGAGGTACAATCATCGTGTCAAAGACTAAAACTTTTGGGGACTCCTGTCCTACCATAGGAGAGAGGGGGCCAAACTGGGAATTGTAATGTCAGAAGTGGTCCTTGGGTTCTGTTAGAAACGATCTCATTTAAGTAGTAGTGTCCTTTTCCACTTTGCTTTTTTTTTTGAGTTGGAGTCTCACTCTGTCGCCCAGACTGGAGTGCAGTGGCCGCTCCTGGCCACTGCAGCCTCGACCTGCTGGACTCTGGCGATCCTTCCACTCAGCCTTCCAAGTAACCAGAATTACAGGCATGCACTACCACGCCCGGCTGATGTTTTGATTTACTGTAGAGATGAGCTCTCGCTGCCCAGGCGGGTCTTGAACCCGCGCTTTTTTTTGTTTTTGTTTTTACAAGTCACAGAGATCAACTCTTAGGGGTGGAACTGGATTCCTTTCCTGGCGCACAAGTTTCTGACATAAAATTTGAGGAGAGCCGGGCTCGGTGGCTCAGCCTGTAATCCCACACCTTTGGGAGGCTGAGGTGAGTGGATTGCCTGAGACCCGCCTGGGCAGCGAGACCTCATCTCTACAATAAATCAAAAAATCAGCCGGGCGTGGTAGCACCTGCCTGTAATTCCGGCTACTCGGAAGGCTGAGGCGGAAGGATCGCTGGAGCCCAGCAGGTCAAGGCTGCGGTGGCCGGGAGCGGCCACTGCACTCCAGTCTGGGCGACCAAGTGAGACTCCAACTCAAAAAAAAAAAAAATTGAGAAAAAGATGAGATGCCTCCAACTCCTTAAATGATTTCTCACACACCTTTTTGGAGGAGGGTATGGTAGGGATTAAGCCTATTGACTCTGCCACTGCTGAAAGGAACTATGGGGAATGAAATGCCCGGTTGCTTTGGGCTTTGCAGCAACCCATACTGTGTTTGTGCTGATTCAGAGCACTTTGTAAAGTTTGGCCTTACAGAGGCCTCCTAATGCCTTTTGGTGTCATGTCTATTTAAGGAATAGTAGGGGACATAACATGTAGACAGATTTCAGGTTTTTTTTCAGAAGATACTGGATTTGTTACCATATTTTAAAAGGATGTAATCTTGGTTTGTTATGAGAGAGTCTAAGCGGATGAATTCCTCACTCTTGATCAGTTTAAGTCTAAATTCAAGCTTTTCTTTGTTTCACATTTTCCTTTTACTCCCCTCCCCCACCCCCTGAGTCATAAGCATGCAGAGTTGGGAATAGAACTTGTCAGCTGAGTGGGGATGAGACAGTTCTTTGCACATGTTACTTTGTAACTATGGCTAGTGAGCAGAGAAAAGGACTATACATGTTGGAGAAACTTCTTCACTGAGACACCTTCTTCCTATGGCTGTGTGGTGTAGATGCAGAGTTGTGTGTGTGACCATTCACTAGTATATTCTGCTCTGAATCATTTAGGAATCTGTTCTGCAAGTTGTCCATTGTTGCCTTTCGCTGTACGTATTTGTGGAGGGCCTAGGATCTGGTGCTTTGTTTCTCTTTCTTGGATCCTGTATAATTATGTTTTTCTAAAATTCTATTAAGTGTGGTATGTCAACTTCACCTCCTTCTTGGCTATTCTTAGTGCCCATCTCATTTTACTGTCCTCTTAAGGTTTTCCAATTTATACTATGAATCATTGTGCACCCTGTGTAAGTACTGTCATTGGAAATTAAAATCAGTGGCAGCTCAGCCTCAGTAAATGACATGCTGATTAGCACATCTATATTCTAGCTTTCCCTTTAGTCTTGATATTTAAAAAGTTTATAATTTCCCTGGCCTCATTTTATTAATTTATATTTTTCCACTGTATCTATTTTGAAAGCTTCTACAAATCCTTTTTTGGTTTGATGAGGGGAATGAGTAAATGTTTATAAATAAATAAGTGCTTTTAGAACAAGTGATTCAGTAGTCCATAATGCAGATATACTATCCTCCAACAGGCCTAGTTGGAGATTGGAGATCTGTCAGTCACTATCTTTTTACCTACTCCACTTCCTCTACTTCTAATAGGAAATACTTGCATGTAATCTCAGGAACCCCATTTTGAAGAGGTATAATCATCGTGTCAGACTAAAACTTTTTGGGAACCTGTCCTACCATAGGCACCAAGCTTCCTACCTGGAATGATAATAACAAGTATTAATTGAGTACTATTTCTGTAACTATTTTCCACATGAGGAAACAGAAGTGTGTATAAAGAAGTTAAGCCTGGCATAGTGACTTATGCATGTAATCCTAGTGCTTTGAGAGGCCAAGGCTGGAGGATTGCTTGAGCTAGCCTGGGTAACATAGTGAGACCTCGTCTCTACAAAAAATTTTTAAAAACTAGGCACGGTGGCACATGTCCTGTAGTCTCAGCTGCTTGGGAGGCTGAGGCGGAAGGATCGCCTGAGCCCAATAGGTTGAGGCTGTGGGTAAGCCATGATGGTGGCACTGCACTCTAGCCTGGGCAACAGAGGGAAACCCCAACTCAAAAAAAAAAAAAAAAAGTTGAAAACAGTTCACCCAAGGCTGTAAATGGCAAAACTGGGATTAGAAAGCAGTGGTATGACTCTAGAATGGCCATTATTAGACTCAGGATGACTCAAAATGACCATTTTTAGAAAGTCAAAGAACAGCAGGTGTTGACACAGTTGCGGAGAAAAGGGAATGCTCATATACTGTTAGTGGAATTGTAAACTAGTTCAGCCTCTATGAACAGCAATTGAGATTTCTCAAAGAACTAAAAATTGAATTACCATTTGACCCAGCAGTCCCACTACTAGGGATCTACCCAAAGGGGGGAAAAATAAATATATAAAAATTACCTGTACTCGTATGTTCATTGCAGCACTATTCACAATAGCAAAATCATGGAACCAGCCTAAGTGCCCATCAACAATTGATTGGATAAAGAAAATGTGGTGTATGCACCTTGGAATACTGTGCAACCATAAAAAAGAATGACATCATGTCCTTAGCAGCATCATGGATGGAGCTGGAGATCATTGTGCTAAGTGAACTTACTCAAACAGAAAACCAAACGTCACATGTTCTCACTCATACATGGGAGCTAAACCCTCACAAAGATGGAAGCATTAGATAGTGGGGACACCAATAAGGGGGGCAGGAGAGGAAGGTTAGAGTTCAGAAACTACCTACAGGGCACAGGGTTCAGTATCTAGGGAATGGACCACCTGAGACCCAGTACCCACTGCTACATGATATGTCCATGTAATGAACTGAACATATATGTGCACCCCCAAATCTAAAATTAAAAATATATATTAATCATTTCCTCTACTCAAAATGTTGAATTTAATATTTTGACACATGTATACATCCTTGAAATTATCACAGTCAAGGTAATAAACATTATTTCCAAAAGTTCCCTCCGGGAGGAAAAAAGAAAGCAACAGTATGACTGTAGAATCTGGGTGTGAAGTACATTATAGGCTTGCAGAGAATATTTGTTTTATTAACACACTTGGAGTGTTACTTGTGGTTATTGAATTGTGAATCAGACTGACCCAGTTTGGTTTTAGAATTTCCTTATGGAGCCGGGCTCGGTGGCTCAGCCTGTAATCCCGCGCTTTGGGAGGCTGAGGTGAGTGGATTGCCTGAGCCCACGGGTTCAAGACCCTCCTGGGCAACTTGGCGAGGCCTCATGTCTACAATAAATAAAAAAATTAGCTGGGCGTGGTAGCGCGCGCCTGTAGTTTCAGCTACTTGGAAGGCTGCAGCGAAAGGATTGCCGGATCCCAGCAGGTCGAGGGTGCGGTGGCTGAGAGCGTGCCACTGCTCCCCAGTCTGAGCGACAGAGTGAGACTCCAACTC